ATAGAATGGGCTATAAAACTGTGTACTCGAAAAAANATCATCGGGGTGACAATCCACTTAAGCCAACGAACCATCCATCTAAACCACAATTAAACTGTCAATGTTTCTATTTACACAATATTGTCACTTTCTACTTGATAAATATGATACATACCGCCCTATTATGAATCGTACGATGCACGATAAACGCTTGCATTATTCTGGGCGAAAATCGTCACATACGATACCGTATTACTCGTCACGTAAAAAAAAACATATTTCAGATTATGAAATACGTCAACGTACTCTTTATTCAATTCAGCTTATATGACTTTCGTATGGTTTTCGATCCGTGATTTGCACAACGACGATAGGCGGTTCACAATAAAAAGTGAACAAAAACCACAGCCATTCATTCACAACAATACATCTGTTGGGTGTATGAAAATGATAACACGAGAACTAATTTTATACGATACGCTTGCAAGCGTTTATCGTCTATCGTATAAAAATTCATAATAAGGAAGATAAAGATGTATTGTATTTTGAAGTGGATTGTTTTCGTTATTTTCTTGTTAAAATAAGTACTTGTGTACCGGTAAAAAATATTAGAAAAATATTTTCAATTCCATATTTTACTAGTTTACAGCGCATATTTTAAAATATTGAATGCTTATTATTTGCGCATATTTTCGATTTTGTAGTGCATGAGATACCGAGCTCTAGTTATAAGTATTCGAAATATAGCTTCTTAAAGGAAACACGAGAATAAATCAGTTTTTCCGCTGGCACACTTATTTATCGATAGGTGAATGGTGTTTTATACTAGAAAACGATTGTTCTACACTTGTGTAATGTGTTCAAAATTGCTAAGTGTGTAAGGACAAAATTTTAAGCTAGTACACAGGACCACGAAAAAAATGCATGCAAGGTTATTTTGATAAGACTATTTTTAAGTAGTATTTTATACTTTAATCTTGGCACCCATGCGGCTTTGTGCCGCTGATTACGATTATGAAGTCAGATTTTCAAAATTCAAAATGGCGATCAAAATCTAAAAACAAACAATGATTCTTATATGATTTGGTACCTTAGACCGCCACATTGGATCCGCCATTTTGAATTTTGAAAATCTGACTTCATATTCTTAACCAGCGACCTCAAAAACCGATTGGTACCTATATTAAAGTAAATACGTCAATATTTGTAAAAAAAAATATATCAAATAAAGTTCGCCGTGTTTTTTGAGGTTAGAAAAAAATTTTGACAAGACCTAAACGGACTTTAGTGAACCTAAACCCATATAAAACACCTAGTCCGGTCAAAAGAAACTTTTTTGTAGTCCTGTGATATTTATTATTTATTTAGTATTGTATTATTCTTTTTTTACGTTAATAATAATAATAGATTGGCGCTTACACATACAATCGAGAGGATTTTCACCGATATGAACTCGTTTTTCTTTAAGATAGGCCTTCAATTCAGCTTTAATTTCATATTGTTAATATCTCTTTCGCTGGAGGAACCTAAAATTATTTCTTATAAGACTTTTAGCAATATTTGTTGTAGGCCCATCAATGTTGCTTCATATATAATGTGACCCACCGTACTTCTTTCGGAAGTCCAGTACTTCTTTTTGAGCCATTGTACTTCGTACTTCGAATGTACTTCTTTGCAATATTTTGTACTACCTTCTAAGTTGATTTTTTGTTTAACTGATTCGAAAAATTCCAAAGGTTAGTCATCTCAGTTAAAAAGGGTACTCGTAGATCAACACGTATGTAAATTATGACTGTCAATCACTTCACATCATTACTTTCACACAATTTTTTATTCTCAGGTCCTGTACTTCTTTGAGCTATGAAATAGTTGGTCACATTATTCATATACTACTTAACCGTTTGACGTAGTCTTGTAGTCGAACAAACAAAAAATTAACATTTGTCATTTTCTGATAGTGTGACTTGTGAAAAATATGATATTAAATTTCCCGCGCATTAATGAAAAATCACATTTTCTTCTTTTGTCTCCAATTTTTGAACGCTAATGACACGTTTCAACTTATAGTTTTCTCATTCAGACTTTGCCAACATTATACGAACCATGCAAAATAAAACTTTTTTTAGGCAGTTCGCCGAAAGTTTCCACCTTTGTTGACAGTGAACACTGAAAAACAATTCAAATATCAAATTTCAAACGTATGTACATGCATATGTATGTACATACATACATATAATGGTCCGACTCTGTGATGGTTTCCCGGTGGGGTGTGTAGTGTCCATAATGATGACACCAACATGGCGCACTAGATATTACAGTGGGGTTGTGTTTATGCCAATTTAAAAATAGTGTGCGCATACATTAATTTTTGACGATTTATAAATATTTTCTATTTAGCAAAAAACTAAACTTCTGGAAATTATATTTTCAGTATCAAAACTATGTAATCCTTTCTATTCGAAGTCTACTCGTGTATATTTACGGTTTTATGTTGTACACTGTAGAGCGTAACTTAGATGCATTTACTTTTTCGAAAGGAAAATATCGATAAACGTTAAAAAGCCGTTCTCTCAAGTAGGAACTAAAACCATCAAAGGGATAACAATTTAAAGTTTTTAAAGGACTACAAAAAAACGCAACAAATTTTCACGCAAATTTCAAACTTTTTTCTTAGAAGTGTTAGAACTTTTTCGAGTACACAATTTTATAGCCCATTCAGTTTTAGTCTAATGTGCAACTTTCAAATGGCTAAAAATTACTGTTGATTTTTTAGAATTTTTTCGCCGAAGGTTTTCCATATATGTACAAATAAATTGTGTTTATTCGTTATATGGAATAAAATGAGACAAAAAAATTTAAAAAAAAATCAACGGTAATTTTTAGCCACTTAAAAGCTCAGTTAGACTAGACTTAATTTTCGTGACTTAATTTTACTCAATATTTTGGCCAACATATAACAGGAGAAACGGTTTTGGCAGTTAGTTAAAACTTAGCTTACCGTAAGATACTTAAGAACCTGTAGGTTTTAGATTCTTAGGTTACGGACTCACGGAAATTGCGAGCGGTGAGAGAATCAGGCTTGCCAGAATTTCTTTTCTGTATTTCTTAAAAATAAATGAACGCAAACATATTTTTTACGTGCATTTTCTTGATGTGGTATTTTAGGCGGCAAACTGTCAAACAGCTGAAAAAGAAAATACAAAAACAAAATAATTCCGCTTCTGGCTTAAGTTGACGTGTTGAGTAATCATTGATGATTTCTTACGGTAAGTTAAATTAAGTCTAGACTAACTGAGCTTTAAAACTTGCACATTATCAGACTAAAATAGAATGGGCTATAAAACTGTGTACTCGAAAAAATTCGAACACTTCTGAGAAAAAATATTTCAGATTTTATTTACCAAATGAAGTTGCGTTCGTGTACAAAATTATAAATCCTTACCGATACATTTTGTATGACCGATAATAAATGAATATATGTAGTAGGGCCTTTTTCAAAATTCACTTTTGGACCACTGTACAAAAGCTATCACACTGAATGAGGGTATGGGTATGACCGACCACACACTACGCATCCTTAAGTTTCATTCGCATTTTGGATTTGTTGACAACGTACTATTTGAAAAAATTTCCCCTCTTACTACATAATTGTCACATTATGTTTTGACATTCCATGCTGTCATAGATCACATTACTTAAAATATGCTTTCAGCAAACACACAAGTAGAAAAAAATCACAACTTTTTTTTTTTTTGGAAACGTGCGGTTTTATGCTAAAGAAACTATCCCAGTGCTTAAAGAGCGAGGGATCAAAATACTGTCAAGATAACATGCTACTTTTGGCTTGGAATCATATCGAGCCCTAACCGCGAAAATAACGTAAGCGACATCTTTTTCAAAATTTTCTTTTTGATGCAGAAGTGTATCTAGATGGTGTAGGAATATTTCGCGATCAAAAAATAAAATAAAATAAAATTCGCTTACGTTATTTTGGCGGTTAGGGCTCGATATGATTCCAAGAATTTTGCAATATTTATTTATGACTTTCTGTATAATGACGCTTGCTTTTATTTCAAAATGGATCCTCATGATACAAAGTTACCGATAAATGAATAATAGCTTGAGGTCTAGTTACACAATGCTTAGGGTCTAGTTATAGTCTATTAAAGTTGATATGGTATATCGCAGTATATTACACCGTGTTTACAATACGAACAAGTGTGCACGTCCTACAATGGACAGAAGTTAAGATTAGGTCAGAAGCATAAAAAAACTAGTTTCAAATAACGAACTTCGATTAAGATCGCAATGTAGAACAAGTCACGTGGTTAGGATAAGCTGCATACTTGGACCATAAACAAAAATTACGTTTCGGCTGGTAATAGTCTCGGAAAGCTTTTGGGGGTCTACTCTATATTGCGATTTGAAAGGCGATACGGATAAATACAAATTCATAGTACCAACTATTCGAATACAAATGATTTGCTTTTCGAATCGCAATACAGAGTAGATCCCCTGAAATCTTAGCTTCTCAAATGGTAGCTTAAAAAAAGTGCGATAGTGAGGATCAGGAGTTAGTCTGGCTTAGGAAAATATCAAGAAAATCACAAAGATATGTTGCTCGAGCGATGGAAAAACGAAGCTATGCCGTCACGGCTAAAAAGAAACCATTACAGTACAGTTTTATCAGCAGCTTCATGAAAAGTATATTACTATTTATAAATAAGGTTCTTTACAATGACTCATACGGACAATGGAGATGAAGAGTCCGATCAAACATTATCCCGTCCTTAGGTGACAGAATCTTTTATGTGTTCGTAAGATCCGATTTTTTGCGAAATAAAGTTAGTTCACTTGTCTAATAATAAGGGTACTCATCATTCGCGCAACTTTCATATTTGGGCAATTGGGCAACTTTGCGCAGTGTGTTTCATGAGGAAAATTTTATATTCTGTGCAATTTCAGACATTTAATTATTTGACAATGTTCAATTTATAAATTTGAACAATTTAAACTCGAATTTAAGAAAATATTTAAGTCTTACGAAAAAGCGTTGAGCACAAATCAAAATGAAATTAAACAAAATAGTTGATTGAGGGTTGCACATCACACTGCGCAAATTTGCGTGACAAACTTTCCACGCAAACTTGCCCTTTTTGTGCAAATAGCTTTCCATACAAATTTTGACATTTCATTTGCGAGGGTTTTAAATTGTACAGTTTGCCCAGTTTGCGAGAGTTTTGCGCTTTTAAATGAGTACCCTTAATGTGTATTTGTGTATTTATGCTCAACTTGTCACACTCGTCACAAAGTCAAGTCACACCCGTCACAGTTGAATTTGAAACATATAATTTCCTACAGAGGTAAGCAACTTCGGCGCAAATGTTGAAAACGTTTATTTAACTATACAACGAAGCATTTAAAATCATAACCAGAAGACAAAATTAGCAGAAAAACTCTGATACAAGAAAGCAGTAGCTAATTTCGGATTAAATTGTTTTTGAAATTTTTTTTCAAGGCATTGTGTATGTATATCTCGGAATCCCTTTAGAATACTCGTTTTTAAGAATTGTATATTACAGTTTAAGAATTAAGCCCAAAAATGTGAGTTGAAATGTCACACCCGCCACCGTGGAATGAGCCATAGGTTAAAAAACACAACTAGCACATCTAAGACGATGCTTTCTCAATTTTCGTAACTATGGTAACAGTAAAATAACATTATATCAACTTCCACCTTAGTAGATTCAAAGATCAAGAAAAATGCTTTGACGGATGAAAACTTTCAGACCTACAAGGATAACACCGTCCGAGTTATCTAGAACACAAACCAGGAAGTGCTTTTCTGCATTGTAGCGACAAAAATGTATGCAAGTATATGGTACAAATTTTGGCAACGAGGAACGAGTGAAAACACTTGATATATATTTCTTTTTTTGTATAAATGTACATGTTAAGGCATCTAGAAACAAGGGCCGATTGACATCATTCAGTTCTCTTGTACCTCGCATGCGATCAAAACGGAAAATATAGTCAAGTATGGTAAGCAACGTTAAAGACTGCATATTTCGGTTTATAGATTTGTCAAAACGTGTATTATCCAAAAGTTAATATTTTTATAGCTTCTTTGGACCTTGATCTTTATTAAAATACTTTAGTTTACTTTTTAACTTTGCAGGATTTGCCAAGTTTTCCTTACGTTTAACTGACTTCCAAAAAATGTAACGTTAAAGGCCACCTAAAACCACATTTATCTTTAAAACAGCAAAAGATAGGAAATAAATGTCTGTATATAAAATGTAGCTTTTGGGGTTTGTTATCAGGATAAATGAAAAACTTTAGGTTTTTGCACAACGTTTCAGAAATATAGAGAGAAATATACGTGGGACTGTAACGTTAAAGACAAAAATGTTTTTCATTTGAATTGGCATAAAAATCTTTATAATTATAATTAAGCAGTTATTAAATATTCTTCATTTTTGTCCATAGTTTGGCTTATTGATTGATAATAGAAATTAATCAAATAATTATATTAATCGTGTAATAAACAAAATAAAAAATAAATGAAAATGATCAAAAATTACAAAATAACAGGTCTGGTATAATTGAATACGTACCCAATTTAACGGTTTACGATATACCCAAAAAAAAGTTATATTATTTTGTGTACTTTATTGTATTAAACTGTCGAAGTCAAATAATACAGGGTATGAATAAATCGTTTGTACTTGGTACAACTCAGGTAATTTTCGAACTAGTTCGGTTTCTGTTAAGAAATTCTAGTTGTAAACTAGTATTTTTCCTGACTAGTTTGGGATTTCACTGCAGGGAAGCTCCATTAGGACCTACATTCGGCCTTTGATAGGCGACGCATATGTGCGTTCTTATAGAAAACCGAAACATTTACATCATCAACATCGCTATTAACTTATCAACTAAAGTGGTCTTCTCTTACGCATTCCACCAGATGAGAATTTTGTAGAACAGTAATCATACATACATAGAATTTACTATGGTGTCACAGACTAAGCCCAGGTCCGCTGCCTGATCGCTCAGGCTATTAGTGTATTGGCCTTCTTAAATAAAAAGCCATGCTTATCTGACTATACAGAATTAGAACTCTGCACTCGTCGAAGTTCGTGGCTTGCGTCACTTAATTCTATTGCGTGAGAACTGTTCTAAAACCACTGTTTGAACAGCCCAGAATTCTTGAAGGATTCTACTTTTTTAATTTTTCTGATGCCTTGAATCCTTTGTAGTGTTGTTTTCAAAACCTCTAATTTTTAATCAATGTACGCAACCAATGATATGGACGAATAATTTCTTAACGTAACGTAAAATAATTAAGAATAATATTGAAATAAGAAGTTACTTATTTATTTAGTCATTACACAATGAAAGAGTGTAATTTGATAATGACTTCTTTGATATCTTCAAATGCACTTTATATAGCTTTTAACGCGGAATTACTTATTACAGTCCTTATCACCTGAATAAACCACCCTTGCGCATAATTACTCAAAGTTTACCAAAAAACATACATGTACATATGTATACAAAGGGACATAATATGCTGGAAAGGCTTGAGTGAAAGCGCTCTCTTTGAAGTGTGAAAATCAACTTATCTTTCTGGTCCATCAGATCCGCCGACTAGCTGCCGGCTTTTCATGGTACTTTCGCTGCTCTTGGTTGCTGCTAAATAATTTAACACATTTTCTTGCTACTTACATTCAATTTGCACCCAACAAATCTTACCGTAGCAGCTTCCTTTCGTATTTTATTTAAATTTTTTTTACTTTTAAGAAGTTTTGCTTTCATCCGCCACGGTACACAATAATAGTGCGTCGTTTGTTATGCAGGTTTCACTTTGTTTTGCTTTTCTTATGCTTCCAGCGAGCACCAAAATACAGTGAAATATGGAATTTAGAATACTAAATGTTGAATTCGAAATGAGAAATGTGGCAATGCATTTGTTTTATTTTACTTTCCCTCGCTGCCGTTGTTGGTTTCCTTGCTGCTGCCGCCGAAATTGCCGAGGTGAGAATGCGTTGACGCTTTTTCAGTTTCGCACTTCACTTATGGATGTAAATATGAAGCCCGCCGCAAAGTATGCAAGCTTGCTGCATTCTGTACGGGGATGAAACCTAACCTGTCTCTGCAGCAAAGTGGTATTGCGCTTGTTGGTGTTACTGCCACGTTTGGTAGTGGTTGTATGCAGGGATGCCGTTTGGATCTAAATAGATCCAATTGGATACATTTTTAGACGAATTTTTGCGGGATACTTATTTTTTCCGGTCAGTATAAATGTGGATACTTTTTTAAATTAGGCCAAAATTTTATATTTCCTTAAAGTTTTTTTCGTTCAAAAATCGATTTTCATTAAATATGGTAGAAAGCATTACGTTTTATAAACGTATAAAGAAACGCTACTTAAGCGTGAAATTAAAGCATTTTATTTTTTGTGAACGAAGCAATGAACATATGAAGAGATCTCACCAAAATAGGTACAAGCGCAATTGCTTTAATTAGCTTAAAAGGATGCTTTAAGCAAGATCTTAATAAACATATCGTCGTTTAAAGTACAAAACCGCGTATCAACAAAATGCAAAACCGCGTATCAAGATAATGCAAAACCTCGTATGTGACGTTGCATACATTATTTTCTAGAGAGTAAAACCACTTATATTTCAAAATGGTTCTCTTTTTTGTAAAGCAATCGCACTTCTGGCTAGTATATTTCAGGACGAATGGATAAGGATTGAGCCAAGAGCTTGTGTCAGCAAATCCAATTTTTGGCAGCAAACGTCAGTTACGCGGTTTTGCAGAATGACGATACGCGGTTTTGTACTTTAAACGACGATATATATAAAGTAAATTATACTCTTTCTGTAGTAATCTCTTTCATATCACATATTTTCATTTGTTAATTTAAAAAATTTGATTTATTTAAGGAAACTTTTATGAATTTTATTTGCGCATATTGAGAGAGGTAACCAGATTCCTCTTTTAATGTGTGCAAATTTGCACGCCTTGTAATAAAACTAATCATTGCCTGTTTACTTTTACACACAAAATGTTTAAAATAAAGTAATGTTTATTATTAGTAGGAAATGTATTTGTAGTTTGAAAATTTTTGCAATTTTAAACATTCTATATATGTGTATTTATGTGTATATTTTAAAGATCTCAAGTTCAAAATCAAATACTGAACATCCTATACGTATATTTATACAGATTCTTGTTGAAAAATAGATACTTTTCAGTAGTAGTTTTACATGCTCTTTTTAGAGTGTACTTGCTATTTATTATATTTACTTTGCAAAATACTTATACACAAAAAATGTACTTTATAAATTGAAATTACAAATGTTTGATTTTATGCACATGTATTCCAAGTCCTTAGGATGGGTTAAATTATGTCTTTTTCATGAAAATGTTTGGTTTTCTTACAAATTATGAGATGTATATGTAAAAAAATGGATACATTTGGATACATTTTTGGCTTGGTCAGGGATATATTTTCTTGATACGGCGCGGCAACACTGGTTGTATGCCATATATTCTCTACAAATCGCCCATTTGCTGCAAGAGTGTCATAATCCAAAAAAAAACGTTTTTTTTTTTAGTTAAGTATGCATAAATGACAACTCATTTCATGGTTGTATCGATTATCCAAAAGCTCATTAGAAAAAAAATTGTCGAATGGTTTGCTATGGGAGCGGACCTAAACTGTAAACTTTAAAGCCGTTTTTCTCGAGTTTTTGAATTTTTGAATTATGACACTCTTGCAGCAAATGTGCGATATGTCCTCCGCGGCACTGTGCGGCAGCATCAACGTATAAAATATTCAGAAAATTGAAAATTTCTTTTTCAGCTTGATATTTTATTCCGTTTGAGAAATTGGATCTGCATTTTAAGATTTTCATATCTTGCACGTCAACTCGCGCCCACCCAACTCGCTCGACGCAATTCGTCCTTTTCGCCTGAGCCGTATGTTTACCTGTGCGCACGGCGGCTGCTTTTGTTCGTGCTTGGCTTTGCACGCGAGTGCTTTTGTTGCAAGCAATGGCACAGCAATAGGCACAGTTACACTGGTCCGTTTATCCATCTATTCGCGATACACATGCATGTGTGAATAGTCATGTAGAGTTTTCACTTTTTGCCACCTTCGCACATCATGCTGTACATTGTCCGCCTCAGCCACATCTACACCTTTGTGGCAAAATCGCTCTGCGCGGCGCACTGCCTGGTGTCATTCGCAACAGCACT